GTTAAATAGCAAATTTAATAACAAAAAGTTTTTTAACAATTTATCTTAACATTTCGTTGTCATACTTTTAGGCTTTTTCACATTTACTTGTTAAAAAGTATACTTTTAGGCTATTAAAAATACTTTTAAATCATTTGTTTGTTAGAATTTTACAACTGGGACACACACCAGTCAAATGTCACAGTAATATTTAAGTTTATATCGTTCATTTTTCTTGGCAGCCAAGCCATGTTTAACTTAAAATGCCTGAAATTTTTATTACACACATAAAATAGAGTCTACTTTTAGGCCACAGGAAATATTAACGAAATTTTAAGCTGTATAAATTATGGTCGCAGCTGTTTGTAAATTCATAAATATATTTTAAGGTGATTTTAAGTGTTTGGAGCTTAAATGTTGGATTTGTTTATAGCAAAAGGTCAAAGGTCAAAATGTAGAGGTATCAATGTTAAATTTCATAAGCTGGTAAAATTTAGTTATAACTGTTCTAGTTTTGTTTCGGTTCGGTTCTAGTTTGTTTCTAGTTCTGTTCTAGTTCTGTTCTAGTTCTGTTCTAGTTCTGTTCTAGTTCTGTTCTAGTTCTGTTCTAGTTCTGTTCTAGTTCTGTTCTAGTTCTGTTCTAGTTCTGTTCTAGTTCTGTTCTAGTTCTGTTCTAGTTCTGTTCTAGTTCTGTTCTAGTTCTGTTCTAGTTCTGTTCTAGTTCTGTTCTAGTTCTGTTCTAGTTCTGTTCTAGTTCTGTTCTAGTTCTGTTCTAGTTCTGTTCTAGTTTCTGTTCTAGTTCTGTTCTAGTTCTGTTCTAGTTCTGTTCTAGTTCTGTTCTAGTTCTGTTCTAGTTCTGTTCTAGTTCTGTTCTAGTTCTGTTTCTGTTCTAGTTCTGTTCTAATTTTTATTTTTTTTTTTCTATTCTGTTCTAGTTCTGTTCTAGTTCTGTTCTAGTTTGTTCTAGTTCTGTTCTAGTTCTGTTCTAGTTCTGTTCTAGTTCTGTTCTAGTTCTGTTCTAGTTCTGTTCTAGTTCTGTTCTAGTTCTGTTCTAGTCTGTTCTAGTTATGTTCTAGTTCTGTTCTAGTTCTGTTCTAGTTCTGGTTCTAGTTCTGTTCTAGTTCTGTTCTAGTTCTGTTCTAGTTCTGTTCTATTTCTGTTCTAGTTCTGTTCTAGTTCTGTTCTAGTTCAGTTCTAGTTCAGTTCTAGTTCTGTTCTAGTTCTGTTCTAGTTCTGTTCTAGTTCTGTTCTAGTTCTGTTCTAGTTCTGTTCTAGTTCTGTTCTAGTTCTGTTATAGTGCTGTTCTAGTTCTGTTCTAGTTCTATTCTAGTTCTGTTCTAGCTCTGTTCTAGTTCTGTTCTGTTCTAGTTCTGTTGTAGTTCTGTTCTAGTTCAGTTCTAGTTCAGTTCTAGTTCAGTTCTAGTTCAGTTCTAGTTCAGTTCTAGTTCTGTTCTAGTTCTGTTCTAGTTCTGTTCTAGTTCTGTTCTAGTTCTGTTCTAGTTCTGTTCTAGTTCTGTTCTAATTCTGTTCTAGTTCTGTTCTAGTTCTGTTCTAGTTCTGTTCTAGTTCTGTTCTAGTTCTGTTCTAGTTCTGTTCTAGTTCTGTTCTAGTTCTGTTCTAGTTCTGTTCTAGTTCTGTTCTAGTTCTGTTCTAGTTCTGTTCTAGTTCTGTTCTAGTTCTGTTCTAGTTCTGTTCTAGTTCTGTTCTAGTTCTGTTCTAGTTCTGTTCTAGTTCTGTTCTAGTTCTGTTCTAGTTCTGTTCTAGTTCTGTTCTAGTTCTGTTCTAGTTCTGTTCTAGTTCTGTTCTAGTTCTGTTCTAGTTCTGTTCTAGTTCTGTTCTAGTTCTGTTCTAGTTCTGCTCTAGTTCTGTTCTTGTTCTGTTCTAGTTCTGTTCTAGTTCTGTTCTAGTTCTGTTCTAGTTCTGTTCTAGTTCTGTTCTAGTTCTGTTCTAGTTCTGTTCTAGTTCTGTTCTAGTTCTGTTCTAGTTCAGTTCTAGTTCTGTTCTAGTTCTGCTCTTGTTCTGTTCTAGTTTTGTTCTAGTTCATTAACTTTATTTTATAACAAAACATTTTCCCAATTAAAATAAATGTTGTGCTTTAAACTTTTACACAATTTAAAATTTTTTGTGCAGTCTACCAAGGGGCTAATTTAGTTATAATTATAAACTAAAGTCTACTTTAGGGATTTATTATAAAAAATATTTATTTTTTCACTAAAACTACTTAAATTGATAATAACAGGTTTTAAATATAATAGTTGCTGCAAAATATCTAAGATTTATTTATTTTAATGCGTATGAATTTCTTTTGTTTTATAGCCTACTTTTAGGCGTTTTTTATTACACAGACAATTGCAGCTTTAGTATTTTGGTTTTTATTGTTTAAATTGCTATTTGAAATGCTGCTTTTAATTTTGTTACAAATTCTTTGAAATGATTTTTCGGATTTTATTGACGTCAGCTTTAGGGCACGTTTTAGAAACACAGCAATTTAGTTAAGATTGAATGAGTAATTTTGCTGAATAGTATGTAGAGTTGGAGCAAATTGTTTAATAATAAAGTTTAATTGAAGAAAACTTAATATGGAATAGTATTTTTTAAATAAATAAGTGTTTTAGATAAATTTCAATCAAAAATAGCAAACTATTTTAAGGAGAAACAAATCGAACTTCAATATTTAATTAAAATTTCATTAAATTTAAAATTTGATAATTTACGCAAATCGTATTATTGCCCTAATTAAATTTAATTGAATCTGCTACAAATTATCAATAATCAAACACTATCTTTCCCATATAATCAAGCACTAATAACCATTAATCCTCTAATTCCATTAATTCCCCTTAATTACATGCATGTGTGGCATACTTTTAGGCATATAAACTAATACTTATCATCCATTATGATTGTTTAATACTTAATTAAATTTCATAAAAATCCACAAAATAAATAAATTTATTTAAAATTGCAAATCAAATTCATTTCAAAATGCCGCAAAAGTTTAAATGAAATGTAAATAAATATTTTTAAATACAAGAGTACACATTGAAATTGTTTTTTTTTTTTCAATTAGCATACCTACATTTACAGGCTTCATTAAAAATAACATTGCATATTTTAAGGTCTCATTAAAAAATGAGGGACTGAGTATGAAGAAAATGTTTTAATATAGAAAGAAATGCATTTGAATAATTAATGAAAAACATTTTAAGTATTTTAAAGAAGGGAGAAGGGAAATAATAGGTATGGTTAAAAAGATACAACAGAGTTTTTTAAATAAATACAAATTAAGGACAACTTAAATGGCAAAAAAATAATTGTTTAAAAAGAGGATAACCACGAGACCGTACTAGAACAAGAAGTTCTATTTCAGTTCTAGTTCAGTTCTAGTTCAGTTCTAGTTCAGTTCTAGTTCAGTTCCAGTTCAGTTCTAGTTCAGTTCTAGTTCAGTTCTAGTTCAGTTCTAGTTCAGTTCTAGTTCAGTTCTAGTTCAGTTCTAGTTCAGTTCTAGTTCAGTTCTAGTTCAGTTCTAGTTCAGTTCTAGTTCAGTTCTAGTTCAGTTCTAGTTCAGTTCTAGTTCAGTTCTAGTTCAGTTCTAGTTCAGTTCTAGTTCAGTTCTAGTTCAGTTCTAGTTCAGTTCTAGTTCAGTTCTAGTTCAGTTCTAGTTCAGTTCTAGTTCAGTTCTAGTTCAGTTCTAGTTCAGTTCTAGTTCAGTTCTAGTTCAGTTCTAGTTCAGTTCTGTTCTAGTTCTGTTCTAGTTTTGTTCTAGTTCTATTCTAGTTCTGTTCTGTTCTAGTTCTATTCTAGTTCTGTTCTAGTTCTGCTTTAGTTCTGTTCTAGTTTGTTCTAGTTCTGTTCTAGTTCTGTTCTAGTTCTGTTCTAGTTCTGTTCTAGTTCTGTTCTAGTTCTGTTCTAGTTCTATTCTAGTTCTGTTCTAGTTCTGTTCTAGTTCTGTTCTAGTTCTGTTCTAGTTCTATTCTAGTTCTGTTCTAGTTCTGTTCTAGTTCTGTTCTAGTTCTGTTCTAGTTTGTTCTAGTTCTGTTCTAGTTCTGTTCTAGTTCTGTTCTAGTTCTGTTCTAGTTCTGTTCTAGTTCTGTTCTAGTTCTGTTCTAGTTCTGTTCTAGTTCTGTTCTAGTTCTGTTCTAGTTCTGTTCTAGTTCTGTTCTAGTTCTGTTCTAGTTCTGTTCTAGTTCTGTTCTAGTTCTGTTCTAGTTCTGTTCTAGTTCTGTTCTAGTTCTGTTCTAGTTCTGTTCTAGTTCTGTTCTAGTTCTGTTCTAGTTCTGTTCTAGTTCTGTTCTAGTTCTGTTCTAGTTCTGTTCTAGTTCTGTTCTAGTTCTGTTCTAGTTCTGTTCTAGTTCTGTTATAGTTCTGTTCTAGTTCTAGTTCTAGTTCTGTTTTAGTTCTGTTCTAGTTCTGTTCTAGTTCTGTCTAGTTCTGTTCTAGTTCTGTTCTAGTTCTGTTCTAGTTCTGTTCTAGTTCTGTTCTAGTTCTGTTCTAGTTCTGTTCTAGTTCTGTTCTAGTTCTGTTCTACTTCTGTTCTAGTTCTGTTCTAGTTCTGTTCTAGTTCTGTTCTAGTTATGTTCTACTTCTGTTCTACTTCTGTTCTAGTTCTGTTCTAGTTATGTTCTACTTCTGTTCTACTTCTGTTCTACTTCTGTTCTAGTTCTGTTCTAGTTATGTTCTAGTTCTGTTCTAGTTCTGTTCTACTTCTGTTCTACTTCTGTTCTACTTCTGTTCTAGTTCTGTTCTAGTTCTGTTCTAGTTCTGTTCAGTGCCAGTTCAGTTGTACTTCAGTTCTAGTTTAGTTGTACTTCAGTTTTAGTTTAGTACAAGACTATTTACTAGACTTTAGTCTAAAATATGGATTAGTCTACCAACCACCCTAAAGTGCAGATTATACTATAGAATAGATTATAGTCCACAATACAATCGAAAAATTTGGGACCTTCAATATTACAGACAGTCTTTACAAAATTTGTCTCTTTTTTGTAATTTTCAATATAATAATATTAAAGAAAACTCACCTGCAAATGATCTAGCAAAGCCTCCAAACCTCGATCCGATATCGATGAACATCTCAGCGATAGCGAATGTATATGTTTCGACGCCAAGGCAAACGAATGCACCACATCATAAGCATCATCATCATTGGCGCCCACCAACGCCAAAGCATGAAAACCCCGCCTGATAAGAGTATTAAACAGTTTCACTCTATCCGAGGCAGACATTTGTCTCAGTTCCCGGCACTGTAGTGTCGGCAGCAAACCCGACCAATAACGTGGACTGCGATATAAAACATCTCGCCATTTTGTACAAACTTGAGCCAACACTCGACGCTCATATGAAGAGAAATACAGGAAGAATTTATTCAGGAAACGATCATCCATCATGAGTATTTCAATGCTGGTAATGGGAGGCGGTAGTTTAGGTAAGATCAGTGAGGACTGGGTAACAGCCTGAGCTAGTTGAGTGGCCGCAGATCCGGCACCCGCATAGGGATGATGCATATGAGGATTGGGTAGTTGTTTGCGCATTTGTAGAGGTGTGGCCGATTGTGATTTTTGAGCTGCTGCCATGCCCATGGTGGTGAATTGAGGCGAGCCAGGTATGGTTATGTTCATTTGCTTGGCAATTGAAGTGACCGAGGGTGCGGGCGGTGCACCCATTGGAATGCCTGGTACTGCTGGTGGGGAGGCTGAGGAGGAGTTCATTAGATTTGAGTTGATCAGAGTAGAGTTAGCTATTTGAGAACTTAAATACTGTTGATGCTGTTGCTGCTGCTGGTGTTGCTGACTCTTCTGCAGCATTTGATAGCTAGAGACGGTAACTGTAGTGTGTTGCTGCTGCTGTTGTTGTTGCTGTATTGTAGTGTTACTACTGACAAGGGTTTGTGTGCTACCTAAGGTGCCTGCTCTAGAGGGTTTGTCGGGTGTAGTGGCGGCACTGCCAACTGCTGTTGTGCTTGTACTGTTGTTGCTGTTCGAAAGATTGGAATTTGTCGTATTGGAATTAGAGTTTGAGTTGTTAGAGGAGGAATTGCCACCGCACAAAGCATTCGTTACACGCTCCATTACCGAAGTTTTACCCGTTGACGAGGACGACGTTGAAGCGGACGAGGACGTTGAGTTCGTTGAGCTGGAACTGTTGGAAGAGTTGGAGGAAGAGCCTCCTCCGCCTCCTCCACCTCCCGACGTATTATTGCTATTGTTGGAGCTGCTGTTGTTGCCACTACCACTGCTGCTGTTACTGCTATTGCCATGATGATGTTTCGAACGCAAGCCGAGGCCGTTTATACGCTTGGAAAGTTCAGCGGAGGCACGTTCGACCACGCCTTGCGCCGATATCGAGGACATGGTATGCTGAAATAAATTCACTTTGTCGCTGTATTATTAACAACGGCGACAGAATTTTATTTTTGTAGAATTTTTTTGGGGTTTTTTTTTCAAAATTTCACTTAAATATTCTCATAAGACTTTTTTTCAAAATTTTTGTCGTTAATCTAACGCTTTCATGTGCAAATTTTAATACTTTTTTTCTGTAATAATTTGCAAAGTTGGAGAGCTTAAAGCTTTTCTGTTCACTGTTACCTTTCCTTTCCAAAAAAATTGTATCAAACTTTAAGCTCTTTTGCTCTCTAAAAACACTTTTACAAAGCTTTTAAAAATTTTAAGCTTTTTCACCGTCGTTTCTTTAAACTCTGTTTTTGTTTCTTTTTAAAACTTTCAGTTAATTTTGTAAAATTTTTTAAGTTTATGCACAAAACTTTTAATTTATTTGTTTACACTTTAAAAAGTTTTCTTTTTAAACTTTTCTCTCTTTTACACTAATTTTCAACGCCTGTCGTTTTTTTTTTTTTTTTTTTTCTTGTATAAAAAAATAATCACTTATTTACTCCTCTAGCTGCTGCTGTTATTTCCTTTTTTTTGATGGTCTCAACCTTAAAAGAAAATAAAGAAAAAATTGTATTATTAGTTTTATATTTTTTAGTATTTTACGCCTGTTGGCTTTTCAAAATAAAATCAGTTAAAAGGATTCACTTTTAACGAGTAATAAAGGTTAATAAAAGAAAATGTGTTTTTAGAACTTGCTAAACTAGAACAGAACTAGAACAGAACAGAACTAGAACAGAACTAGAACAGAACTAGAACAGAACTAGAACAGAACTAGAACAGAACTAGAACAGAACTAGAACAGAACTAGAACAGAACTAGAACAGAACTAGAACAGAACTAGAACAGAACTAGAACAGAACTAGAACAGAACTAGAACAGAACTAGAACAGAACTAGAACAGAACTAGAACAGAACTAGAACAGAACTAGAACAGAACTAGAACAGAACTAGAACAGAACTAGAACAGAACTAGAACAGAACTAGAACAGAACTAGAACAGAACTAGAACTAGAACAGAACTAGAACAGAACTAGAACAGAACTAGAACAGAACTAGAACAGAACTAGAACAGAACTAGAACAGAACTAGAACAGAACTAGAACAGAACTAGAACAGAACTAGAACAGAACTAGAACAGAACTAGAACAGAACTAGAACAGAACTAGAACAGAACTAGAACAGAACTAGAACAGAACTAGAACAGAACTAGAACAGAACTAGAACAGAACTAGAACAGAACTAGAACAGAACTAGAACAGAACTAGAACAGAACTAGAACAGAACTAGAACAGAACTAGAACAGAACTAGAACAGAACTAGAACAGAACTAGAACAGAACTAGAACAGAACTAGAACAGAACTAGAACAGAACTAGAACAGAACTAGAACAGAACTAGAACAGAACTAGAACAGAACTAGAACAGAACTAGAACAGAACTAGAACAGAACTAGAACAGAACTAGAACAGAACTAGAACAGAACTAGAACAGAACTAGAACAGAACTTGAACAGAACTAGAACAGAACTAGAACTCAACTAGAACTGAACTAGAACTAAACATAACTTTTTACTGCACCCTTTAATGACGAAAAAAAAAACTACAAAAATGTTTGTTTCTTTAATGAACAAAATCATTATTTTGGCCCTTAAAACAAACTTTTTAAAATTATAAATTACGAAAAAATTCTTTAGCCTTATTTGCTTATTAAGGACATGTCTGCAATAGCAAAATTTAAACAAAATTATAAATTTCTTTTTTGTCTTAAACATAAAATATTTGTATTAAAGTAAAATTAAGCAAATAACTTAATAGTTAAAGCTGCCTCAAAATATGCTATAATAAACATTTATTATAGATCCTTCAAAATATGCTATGATTTTAACAAAATCATTCAGGCAGTTAGTCATTCTTCATTTTTTGTACGTTTTTTTCTTCGGGAATAATAAATTGTACAAAGAAAAGCTTCCGTCATTTCAGCATAAAACTACAAGTTTTTTGTTATTGTAGTAAAAGTTATTATTGTTGTTATCCATTTATTTTTATTATATGATTTTTTGCTACCTATTACAAAACACCAGCTCCTTTTCCCTCCCCCTCTCTTTCTCACTAAGTTAACAAATAAAATGAAAATAAATCATTTTCCACTACTTAAGTAAGTTGAAAAGAATTGTAGGAAAAAAACCCTGAACAACAATAATGAATGAGATGTTTTATTGTGCTTTATAGAGATGACGACAAGTTGACAACAGGTAACTAACATTTTTTTTTTTTTGTTTTTAGATAATGAGGCTAAAAATTATATAAATTATATAGAACAAATTTTTTAGTATTAACATATGTTATAATAAATATGTTAGTTAGTTGTTGTTAACATTTTACCATTGTTATATTTTCTTTATTTAATCATTTGCCATAAAATGTAGAACAGAACTAGAACAGAATTAGAACAGAACGGTACAGTACAAAACTATAACAGAACGAGAACAGAACAGAACTATAACTGAACTAGAACAGAATTAGAACAGAACAGAACTAGAACAGAACTAGAACAAAAGTAGAACAGAACTAGAACAGAACTAGAACAGAACTAGAACAGAACTAGAACAGAAGTAGAACAGAACTAGAACAGAACTAGAACAGAACTAGAACAGAACTAGAACAGAACTAGAACAGAACTAGAACAGAACTAGAACAGAACTAGAACAGAACTAGAACAGAACTAGAACAGAACTAGAACAGAACTAGAACAGAACTAGAACAGAACTAGAACAGAACTAGAACAGAACTAGAACAGAACTAGAACAGAACTAGAACAGAACTAGAACAGAACTAGAACAGAACTAGAACAGAACTAGAACAGAACTAGAACAGAACTAGAACAGAACTAGAACAGAACTAGAACAGAACTAGAACAGAACTAGAACAGAACTAGAACAGAACTAGAACAGAACTAGAACAGAACTAGAACAGAACTAGAACAGAACTAGAACAGAACTAGAACTAGAACAGAACTAGAACAGAACTAGAACAGAACTAGAACAGAACTAGAACAGAACTAGAACAGAACAGAACTAGAACAGAACTAGAACAGAACTAGAACAGAACTAGAACAGAACTAGAACAGAACTAGAACAGAACTAGAACAGAACTAGAACAGAACTAGAACAGAACTAGAACAGAACTAGAACAGAACTAGAACAGAACTAGAACAGAACTAGAACAGAACTAGAACAGAACTAGAACAGAACTAGAACAGAACTAGAACAGAACTAGAACAGAACAGAACTAGAACAGAACTAGAACAGAACTAGAACAGAACTAGAACAGAACTAGAACAGAACTAGAACAGAACTAGAACAGAACTAGAACAGAACTAGAACAGAACTAGAACAGAACTAGAACAGAACTAGAACAGAACTAGAACAGAACTAGAACAGAACTAGAACAGAACTAAAACAAAACAGAATTATTTTAAATTTTTCCTTTTATATAAATTTTTCGCTAGAAAGCTTTAAATTCAATTTCCTTTCATTTTAGTTTATTTTAACATTTTAGTTGTTGTTGTTTTTTTTCATATTAATATAAATTAAATTTTTTAGTTATCAAGTATTTTTCCAACTTTTTTCTCTGTTAATGGCACATGGTCTTGTACATTTATTGGAAGTTATGTAGGCCATTGTAAATATGTTTTTTCTCAAGTTTTTATGTAGGTCAGGGTTTTGTTGCTGTCATGTATATAAAGTCCTGATTAAGTTTAATAGAATACATGGGCTTTCAACACAATAAATTATTTCCGCTTTTTTTAGAAGTTTAAAAAGGCATAAGGGAATGGACACTAACTAAAGCCTATTTTGAGGTTAGTTTTTGAACTATCTAACATTTTCATCTAAGTTTGACAGACTTGCTGACAAATTACAATAAATTAACATCCAACCTGCTTTAAACTTTATCCTTAAACCTTAAATAAACCCTAACTAGCTGTTATTTCTCTTTTTGAAGCACTTTAGCTTTAAATTACTCAATTTAAATTAACAGCAAAAGCAAAATTTCATTTCAACTTAATTAAACACAACATTTAACAAAAAATTGTATAATCAACTTTGTAATAAGTTAATAATAAGTCTAGAACCTGACAAAATTCCTAGACTTTTTACAAATCTCCCTTTCACTCTCTCTCTCTCTTTAAATAACATCATTTATTTTGCTAATATTTAGCTATAAAATGACATACTTTTAGGAGTCCCTATTAAATGAAGTAAATAAATTAACAAATTATTCAAAAAAAGTTACTTAATTATGTTAATATAATTAAGTTCAACTAAAAAGGTTATAAAACTTAAAACATTAAGAAATATTTTCTTTTTAAACAAATAATCAAAATAATTTTTCATCATTTGAAAGCTAATAGCTTAAGTTTTTTAATTTTATTAAATTTAAATAATTATTTTAACATGTTTTTTTTTATAACCCAGCAAACTTTCAACATTATGAAAAAATCCACAAAAGAAAAAATCCTCCACTAAAAGTTTAATAATGTTATTAAAGGCTCTTGAGCCTTATAGTACTTAATATTTTATAGACTTTTAGACGAATTTATTTATACAAAATGGTTTTTTCTTAAATTAAAAACAATTTATGTTTATAGATTTTCAAATAAATTACAAAATTGCGTTGTAAACTTTTGTTTTTGGAATATTTTAAACACGTAAATGACTAAGCTAATAAAAATTCAATATACTAATATGTATGTATGTGTGTACTTAGGTACCTAAATATGTACTATATATGTAGACATATGTCGGTATATATGTATGTACATATGATTAACTTTATATACCCATAGACCAGACATGGAAATTTGGAATTTTAAAATTACAAAAAATAGTACATTTTTTATCATTAAAACTACAGAATGAAAACTAGACTATAGACTAGACAATATACCAGATTATAGATTAGACTATAGACTAGACTATAGACTAGACTATAGACTAGACTATAGACTAGACTATAGACTAGACTATAGACTAGACTATAGACTAGACTATAGACTAGACTATAGACTAGACTATAGACTAGACTATTGACTAGACTATAGACTAGACTATAGACTAGACTATAGACTAGACTATAGACTAGACTATAGACTAGACTATATACTAGACTATAGACTAGACTATTGACTAGACTATAGACTAGACTATAGACTAGACTATAGACTAGACTATAGACTAGACTATAGACTAGACTATAGACTAGACTATGGACTAGACTATAGACTTGACTATAGACTAGACTATAGACTAGACTATAGACTAGACTATAGACTAGACTATAGACTAGACTATAGACTAGACTATAGACTAGACTATAGACTAGACTATAGACTAGACTATAGACTAGACTATAGACTAGACTATAGACTAGACTATAGACTAGACTATAGACTAGACTATAGGCTAGTCTATAGACTAGACTATAGGCTAGACTATAGACTAGACTACAGACTAGACTATAGACTAGACTATAGACTAGACTATAGAC